AAAACTTTTGATTGCGATTATGCAGCAACGTAATACTTCTCTTTTTAGCAGAACAGGCCTTTGGTTCACGATAAAACGTAATGTTACATCGGTAGTTCCAAAAGATAAAGACCAATACAAGGTAAAATAGTTACCAAACTTAACAATCCTTGCGATTTTTAAAAGATGAAGCTAAAAACTAATTTAGTTTTTTCAAACGCGTCAACAGTATATTCCAAAACAATTAGATTCCCAGTCCGGTTTTGATATCAAAGCAGCAGTGTAACAATTACAACAGCAGAAGTAGGCCAGTCGTATTTCTTACGGCTTAATGAACTTTCCGTATTTGACCAAAACCGGTCACCTTCCACCGCGTTGGTCATAAGGAACGAAGAAACTTGAACTGAAACGGCAAAACACTTTCATAATGTCTACAAACAGCAATATATGCTTTGGAGAACCATTTTGAAGAGTTAAGGTTGCCTAAGAATATTTATGATTTATTAGAAATGCACGGTGGAATACTGAAGCAAAAAGTATTTGGTAGATTAATATAGGCTTGTTAACCTTGTCTCGTATTTTCATTGTGTGATCGTTTGTGACATGTTTGTTGCATTATTTTAGTATCATAGACTGTTGGTAAACATTTACTCGCCCAAGTTGAGTCCGGCAGTTATATTGAAAGAACATAATTCAGCTACAAACATTCAACACCGATAAAACCGTGTAGGCCTACCACACACGATGAATTTTTGCACTTAGTCATCTGATGATGCTACAATAGTGCATCCAGTATCGTGATTGATTACGTAAAGGAAATTTGAGACGATGCATATTAGTCATATTGTACAGTTCAGGGGCTATAGTAGATTTTACTTGTTGATATTGGTTTTGTTAGTGAGTGTAGTGTGTCTATGGAACATATCATTGGGGGGTTAATGAGGTTTAATCAATTTTCAGGTTTCTATCATAAATGTTAATGTACAATTAATTATTATGTACATGAATGACTTGTAGTCAGTAAATTGTCAAAAGATTAGGAAAAGATTAACTTGAAAAACGTGAACTTTACAATACCCTACAAAATCAAACAAATGCCCGCCTGTAACAGCATAAATGATACACTTACCAAACAATTAAATAGGAGAAACCACTCAGAAAATGAATAAAATAGAACTACTTTTTCAAAATCTAAAAATATCTAAAAATACACTTAATTTCTGTTAGTTTATTTTATTAACAACAAACCCCGAATAGCTGAAAAAATTACCTGTTGTGTTATAAAACTTAGAAAGTTAGTACCTTGTGGTCGCAAATAAACCCAATAAAATGTGATGTTTTTGAGTAGCAATCGCAAAAATAAGGTGTTGAGGACATGTTTTATTGTGATTGTCTACACAATTGTCTATGTTTCCGTAAGAGCCTGGTCGAAATCCTGGACATTTTACTATCTAACATCAACCATTTCCTATTAATTTATAACACTGTAACAAGTGGCATCTGGATTCGGGATTGACACCTCTTGTAATGAAACCAGATAAATTCAAATTTTAATGCGAGTAATAGTGACATAACTAAAATGTAGCAAATATGAAAACAATATATTAAAACCTTTATCGTTCCTCAGAATAATTTAGTAAATTATTGCCTAAAACATCTATACAAAAATGGTACTGATATTCAAATAAATATATTCAGAGTGAATTAGCATTTACATAAAATCCATTATTTTTACAGCCATGAGTAAATGCAATTAGGTGTAGAAGAATTTGGAGCGGGGTGTTGAAATGGGGCATTTGGCTTGTTGGCGCGTAAACTAGCAAATGCCGACAGCTGAAGATGGAAGACCTTCATATCACTTGCCTCACCTGCTGCAAGGAGAACGCAACATTCTTGCGTAACGCTTATCACCGCAGACAAGTCAAGGTCATGACCTTCTGATAACGCGCACCTCAACTGATAACCTGCAGGTTGACTTAGACATATGAGAAGTCATTGTCAACGTTGGCGACAATTACTCTACTTCGTTAGTTCTGTTTATCTTCAGTTTGTTGAAAAGCTGTAAACAGCATAATTAAGAGGTTCTACGCCAATTTGTCAACCTTCATGGGCATTTGGATGTGAGAAGTCGGGGTGTTTAAGTTATAAAATAACCTTTGACGATTGAAAACTGTGGAAGCTAAAAATGTATTGTGAAAGCTGTTAATTTGGCATTCCTCAATAATGCTCTGAAAAAAAAAAAAATGGCTATCTCTTTCTACGGTGGATACTAGTTTCCTCTATTCGGGATGTTCGGAAGAGCATTAAAATCAATAATCTTTAAAAAGATTATTTTTTTATTTTTAGTTCAAGTTGGTTCAGTGTAACTAAACAATTTTAAAAACTTTACAAGATATGGATCATCCTTTTATATCATTAAAATTTTTCCAATCAAAATTTAAATTTATTTCAAAATAAAGTAGATTCCTACGACTTGGTTGTAATGTACAAAGTTTGATTTGTAATATGATTCTTCTCCAATTCCTTGATATTCTAGAAATACGTAATAATTTAAATAAGGTCATTCGGAAAAAGTAAACACTTTTTTCAATGTTTCCTAACCAGCTCATTAGTGAATGAACAACATTATATTTACATACTAATATATGTTGATACGGAATTCATTTAAAACTAATTCATTTGGCATTTATAGGTGAAGTCATTTTATATCTATGATTGATTTTGATAGTGAATTCAAAAAATTTGAAAAGATACTTTGTGTGTGTTTGTTTTAAATCTGCCATATACTCCCAGAGCAGACACATCGGAGTTTAATTGAACTTTGATGAAAGCTAAATATGATTTGTTTGTTTTTTTCTTTGTAATGAGTAAATTAAATTTTAAAAGTATGCTGAAAGTTCTAAAATTTAGTATTGAACTAAAGTGTCATTGTTTATTTAGCTAATTAAATATCCTAGCCAATTCAGTCCTGCTTAATAGTTTAGAGAAATAGTTTGTTTACATACTGATGTAGTCCTACTTCATAATTTAGGGTTAAGGACACAGAGAATCACAAATTTGTGCCTAAGCTTGCTATTATTGTGCAGAATTTGAATTGCTCTCTTTTTTACTTAAAAAGCACTTTACACACAAATATAATTCCCACTGTTTGCTTGGCCACTTTTGTTCCAAGAGATATTTTTAAGTGAATTAGTTATAATAATAACCTAACAATAATTTAAGGTTTTATAATAGAATAAACTCAATATTTACAAAAGTGAATATTGAAAGTGAACAGAAATGAAAAATGTGTAAATTCAATTTGTTAATAGACAACTTCTTACTATTTATATAGAAATTGTCAACATAAGTAAATCGTAGACAAAGGACTTAAACTAATACAGAATATGATGAATACTATAATAATTCAGATAGTTAACAATACATTTCTATAAGAACGGGTTTATTAAAGGCATATTTTCATTTCCTAATTCGAACATTACCTATATTTTAGGTTATCTTCATGAAATCCTTGTTTGTCATAATATTTTCTTAATTTCGAAAGCTGGTTTATTATTCTGTATTACATACAATCCATTTATGTCAATGCTACCAATATGATCCATGAATATGATTTATGGTAACAATCAATCCATAAACTGATGCTGCAAGGTCAATTCTACGAACACAAGAGACATCGTATGTTCACATCGTTACGAGGCTTTTCTAATTGGATCCCCAGTTTATGTGGCTGGCCAATTAATTAGGTTCAGTATTTATGTGGTCCCCGTTTGTCTGTTCTTAATGGAGTGGATTGTAAATCGATTAAATGTATTAGATATGTTTATTTCATTAACTAATTAACTAAAGAGTGAAAATTTCATCACTTTGTATTGACGAAATACAAGTTCTCCTGCTTTTTGTGGTTTTAATTGAATTATGTTATATTTATGTGTTAAACGACATTGACTATATTTATTTTATTTTAAAGGGACGAAACAAACTCTGTTCTTATCACTACCTTACGTCAGAATTTTGTTAGATAGCTTCACTGATTGATAATTCAGTGCCAATAATAGGTTTGGATCCAGAATTGACACCTCTTTGGATCGGAGCAGTAAACTTAAGATTTTAAGGCAAAGCACTATTGCAACTTGATAGCGGTTTTTAGGTGAGTTTAGGATGTAATAACTGTTCTTGGATTATTTTCGTTCTCAAGGAATCTAAAACCCTAATAATCAACTCTACGTAATTAAATTTATTAAAGTAATATATATTTTCCAAACTTTAATTGCTGACTGTTGAACTTTGGACCAGACCACCAAGACCCAGCTGGAACCACCGAAACAGCTGATCGGAAGTGGAACACATCGATCACCTGGTTTATTTACGAGTCCTGTACCTCGTCGGCGGGAAAGTCATTAGATTCTGTTAAGCCAATTAGTTCACTGTTGGTCGAAGGCAAAAATCGCGGGAATAAGCATTGACATCTTTGTCATTCTAATTGAATGTTTCAGCAAACCAAGATGGATGGAGTTGTAATTCAACCCTTAAATGGCGTCTACCTTAAAAGGTAATTGAGGTTTTCAATTTTAATTGAGTGAAAAAATTGCCATTTCTTCTCTTTTAGTGAGTTTGGTAGTCCAATATTTTAACTCGTATTTTGCAATTCTTAACTTTCGTCAAGATATTTAAAGAAGCTAAGCTATAGGTGAAAGGTTTACTATGCCTTCAGTTTATTCCATTTAAATTATTGAACAGTGAACACACTAAATGCATGCCCCGTGTTTTTGATAAGAGCAAGATCTCATCATATGGTATCATGTGGTCCTTTATAGACTTATCTTCTGGTACTCCACTCAACTTTGGAATAATTCTGTTTGGAGTTTCACTTTTAGTTATTTGTTATTTTTAAGTTAATAGAGTTATAGAAAATTAAAGTCAATCACAAGTTGTGTCAAGTCTTAATTTGAGAAAATACCTATTGATATTCAAGCAAGCAGCATTCTAGTTCATAGTAGACCAAGTATAAATGGCCATACCTGATGTATCAGGTGGGTGTCCGACCGCAATGCCAATCCCTCCACCGCCACCAGGTACGAAGAGCAAGTTCCAAGAGACAGCATCACACAATAGCGAAGCCTCAGGGGCAACGAGACAAACAGGAGGTAATCCAACAAGAGCACCCATCCTAGACTGGTGCGTCCGGTAACCTCGTTCTTCTGCAGGAACAGATGCACAAGGATCTGGAGATTGGCGAGGTGCCAGGCTAGGTGGGGGAGAGCCGACCACAGCCGGGACAACGACCAGCGACACCACGCGAGGAGTCCGACGTTGAGCAGCAGGAAGACGAGAGTGACACCTCGCGAGGCGAGGTCCTGACTCTGCGGCACGACCAGCCAGTAGGCGTCGTAGAGGATCGCGGCCAACAGGAAGCACTGGAGCGCGGGTCGTTTCTGCTTCACGCTATAGGACTGGTACAGGTGCTCGAGCGAGGGGTCCGCGAAGCCGGAGCCGGAGACGTCGGCCCGCTCCATCCCGCTACTGAGACAGACCTGGCGACTGGTCGATAGCGTAGCGCCAGCGCACAGGGAACTGAGCGTCCCACCCGCGCCCGCTACACTCACATCACTCACTACTAACTGACTTACTCTCTACAGTACACACTGTAGTGAGGATCCCACCCGCGCCCTCCACACTCACATCACTCACTACTGACTGACTTATTCTCTAAACACTGTAGTGCGAGTGTCCCTACCGCACCCACCACACTCACATCGCTCACTACTGACTGACTTTCTTACTCTCTACACACTGTAGTGAGTGTCCCTACCGCGCCCGCCACACTCACATCACTCACTACTGACTGACATTCTCTCTACACACTGTAGTGAGGGTCCCTACCACGCCTTCTACACGCACAACATTCACTACTGACTGACTTACTTTTTACACACTGTAGAGAGCGTCCCTACCGCGCCCGCCACCCTCACATCACTCACTACTGACTGACATACTCTCTACACACTGTAGTGCGAGTGTCCCTACCGCACCCACCACACTCACATCGCTCACTACTGACTGACTTATTCTCTAAACACAGTAGTGCGAGTGTCCCTACCGCACCCGCCACACTCACTTCGCTCACTACTGACTGACTTACTTACTCTCTACACACTGTAGTGAGTGTCCCTACCACACCCACCAAACTCACATCACTCACTACACTACCGACTGACGTACTCTCTACACGCTGTAGTGGGCGTCCCTACCACACCCACCAAACTCACATCACTCACTACACTACCGACTGACGTACTCTCTACACACTGTAGTGAGCGTCCTACCCATGCCCACCACACTCACGTCACTCACTAGTGACTGACTTACTCTGTACACACTGAAGTGAAGGCCCCACCCACGCCCGACACACTCACATCACTCACTGACTTACACTCTACACACTGTAGTGGGCGTCCCACCCGCGCCCACCACACTCACGTCACTCACTACTGACTGACTTACCCTTTACATACTGTAGTGAGGGTCCCACCCGCGCCTACTGACTGACATTCTACACACTTTAGTGAGCGAATCTCCCGCGCCCTCGACCCTCGCACATCATTAAATGACTTAGTCTCTACATCTTGAACATTCTACAAAACACCTCATAGACTAACCGATTACTCACTGTAGTGAGCATCCCACTCCCCCCCCCCCTTTACACACCATACTGAGCGTATTACTTCTTGAACATTCTACACAGCACCTCATTGACCTAATGATTACTCACTGTACTGAGCATCCTAGTGTCTTAATTCCTACACATTGTACCAAGCACTCAATTGTCTTACCAATTACTTGCCATACTGAGCATCCTACTGTCTTACTTCCTAAACATTGTACCAAGCGTCTCATTGAATTACTGATTACTCACTGTCCTATGCGTCCCACTTCCCCTTTATACACCGTACTGAGCTAATTGTTCATTGAGATAAAATTAGGTTGATTATGAAATTCACGTATTTTTTTATTTATACATATGGTTAGGTAGACCTCCGAACCACCGTGTCTCGGCATAATCACTTAGGCGATAGTATAACCCGACCCTCCATTAGCAAGGTTTTACCCTCAAATCACTAAATCAGCAGCACCCACGTCCTGCAATAAGTTTATTCATAATCAATTTAGAATATCAACAAATAAACGTAAACTCAAACCAATATAAAAGACACAATAAAAAAGGCTAATGTCACTTGAAGAAACAACCAAATTTAATAATTAAATGTGAAGGCTTGAACAATTGAGAATGTCACAAGTGTGGAATTTGGAAAAACACGTAAATAGTTATTTATAATATTAAAATTAAAGAAACCACCCGAAATAGTTTTTTTTTAGACAAAGATCAAGTTTGGTGGTTTACATCGATAAAACATTAAGACAACATAGAATTGTATACATGCAGTAGCTACAGTGTGAAAAATAAGCTTAACTCAGGGGTGAACTTTCCCAGTATTTATACCCCGTCACTTCACAAAACGATCCAGTAGAAAATTGAGTTACAGCCGGGTGATGAGAATTTGTTACGCGAGAATTTCATCTTGTTTTTACCTTATGCAAAATCCGTATTAGCCCAATCCTCCGGGTACCGTATATATTTAAAAGGTAAGTAAAACAATTAGCATATTACCAGCCTATTATTTTCGTATAATTTTACGCACCTAATGGTTACGGAGAAAATTCGACAAAAAATATTAATTTAAAATTCCCATGTTATTCATATGTAAAATAAGTCGACTGTTGTAGTCTACTTGCTTATGGACATATTTTGATTACATTTGGAAAATACATTCATTTCTTACTAACCTATTAACATTTTACAAAAAAGTGCACTATTTCAACCTCCCTTTCGCAGGAAACCTAAGTACTCGTTAAACTAATTATATTTAAATAGGGAATGAATGTGATATTTTTAATGAGACATTTTAGTGTAAATCCAATCAGGCAAATGGAAATTTGCTTAGTCTGCAGGTTTGCTGCTGCGGGGGTATTAAGTGTTTCTACAAAAATTTACCTTATTGTAAATGGAAATTTGCTTAGTCTGCAGGTTTGCTGCGGCGGGATATTTTATTTGTCATTACATTTGTGTTTTTTCAATTGCTGTAATGTTTGACAATGAGATGTAAAATTTGACACAATAAGTCATGGAGTTTAATTGTTTATTGTATTCTTGCATGGCACCTATTTATTTTGACGAATACTGTAATATGTCTTTTCATTTCGTTAAATTATAGAATTGTTAAAACCAACTGTTCATAAACTGTAATAAAAGCTAATTATCTCTTAAAATAATAAAGGTAGAAGTGAAATTTTGACAGGCCTTTTTATTATGGTTACAAAGTTATCCTCCAGAGTTTGCTGTTTACTGGGTCAAGTAGTAAAACTAATTTTTCCTTAAATCAATGTCACTTGAAATAGCGACGTTGACGAAAATTGAGTTATCTTCGTTCGAGCTCAAATCTGTGCTTGCTCTCGGAGCACCAAGCACCATCTCTTGAATATCTCGACGAAACTCTTCTTTTAGTATAATTTCATATTACCTTATTTATTTTATTCTTTTGACTAAGTTATTTGACAAAATTTTAGATTTGCTTCTTATAGTTTGCAACTGTTAAGAATGGTTTATTGTCCTTAATTCCTTTTAATATCCTGTTTCTGTTATGATATTAGGAGTAATTTAGGAACTTTTAATTGTTTTATTTTTTTATTTTTTAAATAGTAGTATGTTGTGGAATTTACATTTTAAATAGAATCTACAAAATTCAACCCCCGAATTTAGTTTAATATTTCATATTTTAAAGCCTTTGAAACCATGTCCCCGATGTTATCAAGAGGACAATGCATACTTCTTGATACCAGGTAAACATGAGATGAATTTTATATGGGACGAATTTAAATGGAATTCAAAATAATCTTCATGGATTATTGTTGAATTATACTAGGCAAACCCAAGAAAATGATATGCTTTTAATGTATCTTTTTCATCTAACAGCCTGATTGTGCCAGTCAATGGTGCGCTGTACATACGTGTAAAACGTGTAGCCAAGAAAAGTATGCAGGCAATCAATCTTTTGAAGCATCTTTTCAATGTTAATTATTATTTCCCTACATACAAACCTCAACATTTGAATTTTATTTACAATATTAACACTTTGAGTTACACATCAAAACTCTAGCCAAACTTTTCTATTAAAAAAAGAAAACTTACAACAAAGTACATGATTTTGTATATTTTTTTTATTAAGTTGGTTTATTTTATTCATTCTTTTCTTATGTACTATTGTTAACAACAAGTTATTAGTGTAGCTTTATGTATTTTACTTGATGAGTAAAGTTAGTGTTGACTGTATTATCCTAATTTAAGTCTCTTTGGCTGAAAAATAAAAATGAGTGTGCACATACACTGCTAGGGTACAATATTTATTAAAACACATTTAGGTTGCAGTTTTTTGTTGTTGATTCCTAAATTGGAGAAGGGTTTAGAACAATAACTCTAACAAAACTGGTGAAATTTGAGTTATATTATTTTAGCGCAGCTTTTAAGGCTAACAATATTTTTAATGGGGTAATTTTTTCTCAAAACAAATAATCCAGCCTAATAAATTACCTCAGGATTTCTTTCTGTCGATGAATTTGTTTCTTTTAAATATGGTAATACTGAAACTTATGTTAACTGATATTCAATAAGATTAAGTGCCAAATAATTCGATTAGAATACAGGTTGCTTCAATCAGAGTACTTTTACGTCAACTAGTTAACGAAAATAAAATGAAAATAAAACAAAATTATACAAAGTACAAGGCTTGTAAAAGGAACACTAAATTGGCTTAACCTTGTCGCCTCCATGTGAAAATACTGAATTTTGAACATCCAATCTATATACTGACATTATTTTTAACGAATTATCAAATCAAATTTTGAATAGTGTTTAAGTGTATATGTTATTTTACGGATAATATAGTAAGTCTCCTGTCACTATATGGTATATTTTATTTCATACTGTAAACTTGTACAGCATTGTGAATCATGTTTTAGTCGATGGGTGAGTGTCCTTATTTCTAGGTGTTTCACGAAAAATACAAGAGCACCTTTGTCAATTAAAATGTCAACCGGAATAAAGTGTACAATGATGTGGTCGAGGTAGTATTTTAATTACTTTTAACCAGCGTGGAAAGTAGCTTTCAATTATAGGCCTGGGGCTATGCCTCAAAAATCCCATCTATAAAGCAGTTTTTTTGTCATTTAATATAAAATATAGTCTAACACGATTTATATCCGAGTGACATTTAATTTCGAAGCATTTGTTTTGGCTTGAAACTGACATGTATTGTATTTGCTGAGACTTATGTATAATCCTATAATAGTTTTGCCTGCATATCTGGAAAAATACAAACGTAATATACAAATCAAGTGCTGGACTGTATATAAGATTGTTTCTACTTACAAGATCCCCATCTGTAACACAGCTAGTTATACTATAAATTTTGTTATCTCGATTGACATCAATTCAGTGTAAAACAATTTAAAACACTCAATATATTGAATATTGTTATGACGAAATGTTTTAAGGGGATATAGCAGTGAAATAATGAACTTTTTTTAAAGTAATTTTTTGAATTTGTCCATTATTTATTATTTATAATGCTAAAAATAAGAAAAATTGGTCAAAAATAAAAGATTTTTTTTTAAATCCGGTCATTGACTTATTTTAGTAATAATAATAATAATTATCATTATTATTAATATTAATAATTTAATAATTAAGTAATAATTACATAATAATATAATAAATAATAATAAAATGCTTACATA